AGGAGAGTTCCCTTGTACATTACTTGTTGCTTTTCCCTTACTGCTTTTTTTTTTTCTTCTTTGTCTTTCTTTTTTGTCAGTTTGTGTCTTGGCATGTTCCTCCTTGGTTTTATTGTCCCTAGGACTCTCTCTGCTTCCTGGACTTGGGTGACTGTTTCCTTTCCCATGTTAGGGAAGTTTTCAGCCATTTGCTCTTCAAATATTTTCTCAGGTTCAGCACTTTCACTCCTGTGGGAGAACTTGTGGTATAATTATTTTCCAGTTTGTGGGTTGCCTGTCCGGTGGGTATGGTATTTGATTTTATCAAGATTGCTCCCCTCCTACTGTCTCGTTGTGGCGGCTTCTTTGCTTTTGGATGTAGGGTGTCTTTTTTGGTAGGTTGCAGCGTTTTTCTGTTGATATTGTCCAGCAGTTAGTTGTGATTTTGGTGTTTCTATAAGAAGAGGTGAGCTCATGTCCTCCTACTCTGCCATCTTGTGACCCTTAGTCCTGGATTCTTACTTTACTCAGACATTTGGCTTAAAAAGGAAAGTTTCTGGACTATAAAGACATACAGTAGCAATGTCTAAAAAAGTCCTCGTGGGATGGAGGAGAGGAAGTGACTTCCTGCTCTGATCACACTGGAAACCAAGTCTCCATCCTCCCCAGGGCTGGCGGGCCAGCTCTTCCCGAGAGCATGCCTTTCAGCCTGAGAGGGCCCCGGGGCTCAGGATGCCCACCCTGGGGGGCAGGAGGTGTGGGCTGGGCCGCAGCGGCGGCCTGGGAGCCACTGAGGACACGGCTGGGCAGCAGGGGCAGGTGGGAGCGAAAGCAGAGTGAGGCCACAGGCGCCCCCATGGGGCGTCGGTCGAGCTGCTCACCTGCATTTCTAACACAGACCAAACCCACCAACCCAAAGGCCCCCCCCCCCCCGGGACAGCAGCCCGAGGGCAGCGTGAGCCCCTGCAGCTGGTGCAGGCAGGCGGCTCATCCTGCCCTGGGTGGCCCTGGCACTCCTGGGCTTCCTCATGGCCCACTGCTTCCTACAAGGAGGCTGTGCTGGGTCTCCCAGCCTCGGGGGCTTCCTGGGACCTGAAGAGGAAATGCCTCCTCTCACCTCTGAGCTGTGGGTCGGAGGTGACGGTGGACGAGGAAACCTCCTGAAACCTGTGTGGCTGTGGGCACTGCAGCCCTGGTGTCCAGGCCCCAGCGTGCTCTTTGTGCTGTGTCTTGGCTGCCACGATGTACCAGACCAGCTGCCTCTCCCTGGGCTCTGGACAGCATCCACCTTCCAGTCTCCTGAAGGGGATGTTTCTAGGCATATCGGTTGTTTCCCGAGCTGGCCCCAGAGCTGTCCTCGGATCCCCCATGCTGCTGGGTGGTGGGCCTGCCACCCAGGGGGACGTTTCCCTGCAGAAGGGGCCCTGACCCCGAGAGATGGGGACACCGTGTAGCTCTTCCCTCCCCAGGGAGGTAGGTGACCGCGGGGCTCTCTGTCCCTAGCTGGCCATCCCCCTGCCCTGCTTTCACGGTAGAGCTGAGCCCAGGGCCGAGGGCGCCCGTGAGAAGCGCTCGTTCCAATCCTCGCTTGGCTGTGACTTGGCCACAGAACCGGGGCCCTTTAAGCTCTCTGTCTTCTTGGTTTACTTCTCTGTAAAACGAATGGGCTGGACTGGGCCAGGCCCAGGTCCTCTCAGCTCCTATCCACCACATGGGCGCCAGCATGGTTCCTTGGCTGGTGATGCTCAGGCCACAGAGCCCTCTCCTGTGGCTGGGGCTAATTCTACACTTGGCGCCCAGAGAGGCGGCCTCTACTCCAGGCCAGGGACGAAGGAGCCTGTCGTGACAGTCATCCCAAACAGAGCAGTTGCTACCTGCCTTTTAATGTGGTTTTTTTTGGGGGTGGGGGGCAGGGGAAGGAATGAAGGGGACTTGCTGAGACGTAAACATGAACATTGTTTGGGACTGTCCTTTTGGGAAAAGCATCTGGAATTGTCTACCCCTGTTCAAGTGGAAGGGGCAGCAGCCCTGTCTTTATTTATTCGTTGTTTTCCAGTCAGATCCGCCTGTACCTGCGGGAAGCCAGCTGCAGTGCTCTCCACAGCTCCTGTTTGTGTCATGGGCACAAGGGCCGTCCAGTGGGATAACTAACTCAGCCCCTCTGGAGTGGGAAGGGTTCCTAGGCATCTGTCCTAAGGGACAGCAGAGGGAAGCTTCTGGTTCAATAGCAAATCTCTTCTCCCAGGGTCAGCAGAGTGCCCAGAGGTCACTACCAGAGGGCTTCTCCACCAGCTCCCCTGGGTGCATCCACCATCATGTTTCCAAAATGGGCACCAGGATGTTCTTAGTCTCTACTGAGCTTAAGTGGACTTTGAATTCAAGAAAGAAAGGAGGACTTCCCTGGTGGCGCAGTGGTTGAGAGTCCGCCTGCGGATGCAGGGGACACGGGTTCGTGCCCTGGTCCGGGAAGATCCCACATGCTGCGGAGCGGCTGGGCCCGTGAGCCATGGCCACTGAGCCTGCGCGTCCGGGGAAAAAAAAAAAAAGAGAGTGGCCTGATAGGGTGGTCCTGGGAGCACGGGCGTCTCTGTGATTCAGGTAAATATTTTCCTCTTTAGAAACAAAGCCTGACAGGGGTTAGAGCAGGACAGCAGGGACCATAATCACCCAGCCAGCCTCTGCCTGCCCAGCCTGACAAAGAAACCCCATCCATTCACTAGCTCTTGCCTGATGGACGTTTAACTGCCATTATTTGCATCCAAACTCAGAGGGAGCCCCTGGCTCTCAGCATTTCCCACAGTCATTCATCTTCAGGAAGTCCTGACAGCCAGGAAGGAATGATGGGGGCCTGGAGAAAGCATTCAATGGACCAGACCTTCCTAAATGCTCAGCCATGGCCAGGATCCGGGGATAGAATTCGGGTAGGTGGAAGGGCAGGTTGCATTTCTTATTTGTTTTGTCTTCCTCTGGTAGAACACTTGGTGAAGTCCATAAAATCATGTCATTTTTTTTTTCATTATTTTGGAATAAAACTTCCCTGAAATAGCGTTTTTTTGAATCTGAGCTCTCATAACATCTTGATGAAAGTAGCTATTTTCTGTCTGGGAAAAGACTCCTAATAGCAATTGGGAAATTGGGAACACTGTGTGGATGGTAAGGAAATTAGACCGTGTAGGAAACAATGAGCTCGGTTGCTAGTACTGTGTGCGGGTGGTCCATCAGAACAAGTGCTCCAAGACTAGGGCTTTTCCTTCCGGTTTCCTGGGAAGACTGAGGCCGGAGACAAGCAGAAGCCTGGAGCCCCTCCCGATGCTTGATGGCCTTCTCTGGGGGTCCGTGACTGAAACACCCTGGGATCCATTAGGGTCCTACTCCTAGTTGCTGAGTGCCTTTAAAATGTGGTGTGATTTTAGCAGCTTGCCTGTTTTTTGTATTTGTTGATCAGAATTTTGGTTTGGTCCTTCAAAATACTGGGAGTTCATAAAACGTTTTGTAGTAGTTTTAAGACCCTTTATGGCACTCCCACGAAAGCTCTCGTGCCGCCTTTGCTCTCGGTGTCTGCTCTTTCTCTGGGCGGACGCTGCATGGCGCGAGCCCTGCGTTTAGGGAACCAGTCCTCGCGTTCTCTGTGCCCGTCACCGGGAAGCCTCACAGGCTGTGTAAGATGCAGATCATTCTGTTTTTCTCCTCAGAGGAGAAGACAGACGTTTAGAGAAATATGTAAGTAGCCTAAAGTTATTCAATTTGTGGCAGAAAAAACAAGTAATACCTAACATTTGGACTCCACGCAGTCAGGCTCTGTTCCAGGCACTTTATGTGTACAATCTCAGTGAATCCTCCCAATAACCCCAGGGAGGTTCTCACGTCATCTGTACTACAGGTGTAGGAACAGAGGAGTTAACTTACCTAAGGTCACAAAAGTGGCACAGCTGGGACGGGACCGCAGGCAGCCTGGCTCTGAGGTGGAGACCCGGACCTCGTGGCTGGGACCCTGCCACGCAGCCTCCTCGGGACTCAATCTCTCTCGAGGATCAGAGGCCATGGCTGGGGTCTGGGGCCCGGGCTCTGCGGGGCCACTTAATGTGCCCACCTGAGACTCTTGGCCAGGTGTCTTGGGGCAGAGAAGCCTCAGAGAATGTGGGCCCTGCTGGGAGCTACTGCAGCCCCTTCTCCCACGGGGATGTCCAGGCGGGGGCGGTCACCGACGGCCATGACGTCCCCACCTGTTCCTTTCCTTCCCTCTGTTGAGAAAGTCTGCAAAGATGTGTTCACCGTGGGGGGATGGAGCTCAGCTGAGCTGGGCAGAGATCCTCAAGTACCTGTCCTAAGGATGCAGTGATGCTTCACTTTCTACCCCTTGTTTCCGTCTCAACTCAGGGAGAGAAAGGAGAGCAGAAGTGGGGCGTCAGTTGAAGAGATGGCAGTGCGGGCGGGGACGAGGCAGGATTCAGAGGCAGGAACCAGGGCCTCAGCTGGGGAAGGGAGGCTGCCTATGCAGGGGCCCCTGCACTCGGCTGCAGCACCCTCGCCTGCCCGGCAGCCCAGGGGCTGGATTGCAGGTGAGCCCATCCCTTCCTCGAGCTCCATCGGGCGTTTCCCCGCCCCCCACCCCGCTCCTCTGGGCTCTGACGCATCCCCACAGACCCTGCTTGGCAGAAACGGGGCCTGGCCTCCAGCTGCAGGGGCGGTGCGGGGCACAGCCTTCCTGGGAAGACCACAGAGATTTTCCCCAGTGATTGCCATTGTTGTGATTAATATTGCCAGTAGCGTAGGGCTACTTTGGGGGTAACCATGTAAAAGGAGCATCACTTCAGTCTTAGAAAGAATCTGATGGGGAGGCTGCCACAGGAGCTGAACCACATCAGATCTGAAGTTTACGGGTCGTGTCATTCAGACATTTGACTGGATCCCGGGGAATCGCCTACCCACCGGGTGTACCTGCCTGGGGCCAGATACCCCATTTCCACTTCCGGGTGTAGAGCCTGGCAGTGGTCCACACCACGTGCCGGCGGGCTACTCACGTGGCACTGACTGCTGGAGGGAACTGCCCCGGAAGTGGGTGGGCGGCGTCTTCCTGCCCAGCCTCTTGAGCAGCCGGTCTCGCTCGTTGGTCCTGGGGGCACATCACACATGGTCAGTCTCCGGCCACGAGGACACCTCTCCAAGGTGCTCAGAGAAAGAATGGCTTCAGGTCGTAACGTGAAACAGACCTGGGAAAGGCTGCCCCACGTCAAGGAGAACGTCCCGTTTCGCCAACTGCCCCTCTATTTACATTAGATGCTGCCTGGACGCCTCGAGAGCGGCTCCCTCCTCTGAAAACCCGCTCTGCGTGCACCCCGTCCCTACACGACCCTCGGAGCCCCGCCTGCCTCCTGACGGAAGGGGACCAGGGCCCCTGCCTCCGGGGCAAGGAGTGAGCTGTTGCTCCGGTGAGCGGAAAGCTTCCATTCCACCTGCCCCCCCCCCCCCCCCCCCCCCGGCCTGGAGCCTCGCCTGGGTGCCCCAGGACCCAGCCAGAGACAGTTGCCTCTGGTGCTTATTTTGAACCACAATGAAAACCAAGGTCAGTTTTCTTTGAAAACACAAGGATTAGGCGTGCTTCCTGCCTCTCCTGAAATGGTCCCTTCTCTAAGGCTGCCGCTGCTCTGGGGCAACACGGAGGTTCTCCCTAGAGGACAGCTGGGCTTTACGACCAACCAAAGGTGGGGGGTTGGGAAATGCTCGAGAATGGCCCCGATTTCCTGCTGCTGGGGTGTCACCGGGCTTGCCCCCAACAGACTGCGATGTACAGCGTTGGCCGGCACCCTCTGTGACGGCTGAACTGTACCCCTCCAGACTGCACCTGCAGGAGCCCTAACCATCCAGGGTCTCAGGATGGGGCTGGATTACAAGATGAGGCCTTTAAAGGTCACATGAGGTCATCGGGGTGGCCCTAATCCAAGCTAACTGGGGTTCTTAGGAGAGGGGATTAAGACACACACACTGAGGGACGGCCATGTGAGAACACGGGGAGAAGATGGCCTTCACCTGCAAGCAGAGGAGCGAGGCCTCGGAAGGAACCAGCCCTGGAACACCTTTGCTCTGGGACTTCTGACCTCCAGAACTGTGGGAAAATACACCTCTGTTGTTTCAACCACCTGCTGTGCAGCACTTTGCCACGGCAACGCGTACATCCCCAGTCTGCTGTCTGGGAACTTGAGGGCGCGAAGTTGGAAGAGCTGCAGTTGCTTGTGGTCCAAAGCCCCTCCCCCCAGCCCATCCAGGCCTGAGCCCAGGGTCCACTTCACGCTCCCCCGAGGGCCTTTGCAGGGGGAGCAGGGCCCGGCTACTCTCAACAGTCCTATGAGCTGAAGTTCACTGTGCTCTTGGGTTTCTGCAAGAGAGCAGCTTCTGATCGTCTTGGCTGAAACACCAAGGTTTAATTGGTCACCAGCTCAGGGCAAGCCCCAGCCTACCCACCTTGGGAAGATGGCTGATGAGAATACACACTTCTTCTGTCCCCTCACCCTGCTGCTCCCTTCTCGCTCATCTTCCCTTCCAGGGGCCACCTTAACCGCCCTGGGCCACAGGGATGAGCAGATGCACGGTCCTCCTGTGGCCGCCTGACGTCCGCAGTGCCCGTGCTGGCTGCTCTCAGCTGTGTGACCTCCCTGTGTGACCCGCACCGGCCTCGGTTCCTGCGCAGCAGGCACTGCCAGGCAGCTCTGAGCCCAGCTGAGAGGGGCTCCCTGAGGCCCTCCCCGCTGGGACCCTGGTGAGATGAAGGCATATCTCCCCAGGAACTGAGGGACAGACTGGGCGCTCCACCCTGCCTCTCCTGGACCCTCTGACGTTTCAGGTCCAGAAGGTCCTCCTAGTGCTGGGGCTCGTGAGAACCTCACAGAGCCACGGACGGGAAGGGCTCTCTGAAATCACGCATCCTGGTCTCTAGCTGGGCGGCTGAGGAAACAGCCTCAGCCTCGCCAAAGACAAAGGGCACAGGGCACTGTGGGCAGACGTCTCTAATTTCTGTGTGGGACGGCGTATGCTTTTCTCTCTCTTTTTTATAATGAAATATTCAAACAAACACAGAAACTAGCGCAGAGAACATCCACCAACCCGCTCAGCTTTAGCCAAAGACAGCACCACCCTTTGACCCTGCTGTGTCCTGCAGCCCTTCCTCCCATGTGGGGAGGGGGACATGGGGCCAAGGAGACATGTCCACCAAGAGCCCACACCTGCCCCCAGCCCAAGTACGTGAGACCTTAGAAGTTAACGCCCAAGCTGGCATCCAAGGCCAACCTGACCCCCTTGCTAGCTCCATATCCCTAGAAGTAGACCACACAGCCAGGGTCCACGCTCTGAGGCCTGGGGGGTGGCCAGAGGGTGGTTGTAGCACGGGACGTGTGGACTGGGCTGTCCACACGCGAGTGCAGGTCCCCTGCCGGCGCAGGACAGAGCTGGGGTGGGGGTGGGGTACACAGGGCAGCTACCTCTTCCCTGTGTTAATCACCATCTCCAGAGAATCTGGGCATCACAAGGCACTGTGGTCTTCACCCACGTGAGTTAATCAAGGTACATGGCTATTACAACTTGCACACACTCAGACACAGCCTCCACTTGTACTGTGTCCTGCGAGTGTTGGAAAAGTTGAAGCTAGAAAGGGGTATAACGTTTACCATTTATAGCATTCTATTATCTATAGATGGTTTGAAAGCCATCTACTCACAAAGACATAGGAAAAAGTGAAGAAACACAGTCAGCTGTTTACTTTGGTTAATTCTGGTTAATGAGAAGAAAAGAAAAACGGAGTACAGATTAGCACAGGGAAATGAGATTTGGGTTTATAAACAAGAGAACTCGTGACAAAATACTACAAACCGAATTCAGCAGTATAATGAAAGGATTACACAACCTTACCAAATGGGATTTATCCCAGTAATGCAAGGGTGATTCAACATACAAAAAGCAATTAATATAATACACCACATTAATAGAATGAAGGAAGAATATCAATGATCATCTAAATTAACGCAGAAAGATCATCTGACAAAATCCAACACCCTTTCATAATAAAAATACTCAGCAAACTAAGACGGGAAGGGAAGTTCTACCACATAACAGCATTTATGAAAAACCCACAACTGACAACATACTCAATGGTGAAAGACTGAGAACTCTCTCTATGATCAAGACAAGGATGCCTGCTTTTACCACTTCTACTCAAGGAATTTACTAGAAGTGCTAACTAAAGCACTTAGGCAAGATTCCAACAGTCTTTTTTTTTTTTGCAGAAACAAATATTTATCCTATGATTCGTAGGGAATTACAAGGGGCCCCAGATAGCCAAAACAATCCTGGAAAAGGAACACCACAGTTATAGGACTTATACTAACTTATTTCAAGAGTTAATATAAAACTACAGTAATGAAAATAGTGTGGTACTGGCATCAGGATACACATATAAATCACTGTAATGTAGTTAAGAGTCATACGTCTATGGTCGTCAGCTGACTTTTGGCTAGGGTACCCAGACCATTCATAAGGAGAGGAAAGTCTGTTCAGCATATGGGTCTGGAGTAACTGGATTTCCACACTCAAAAGAATGAGGTTGACCCCTTACCTGCAATCACATACAAAAAGTAGCTCAAAATGGATCAAAGACCCAAAATATAAGAGCTAAATATTTACGACCTTGAACTTGGCGATGTTTCTTAGATATGACACTCAAAGCATAGGCAACAAAAGGAAAAAATAGATAAATCGGACTTCATCAAAAACCTTTGTGAATCAAGACATTATCAAGAAAGTGAACAAACAGCCTAATCAAAAAATGGGCAGTAAAGCAATTATACTCCAATAAAGATGTTAAAAGAAAAATGGGCAGAACACCTAAACAGGCATTTCTCCAAAGAAGACAGATGTCCAAAAAGTCCATGAAAAGATGCTCAACATCGCTAATTATTAGGGAAATATAAATCAAAACCACAATGAGATTTCACCTCACACTGGTCAGAATGGCCCTCATTAAAAAATCTAGAAACAATACCTGCTGGAGAGGGTGTGGAGAAAAGGGAACCCTCCTATACTGCCAGTAGGAATGTAAATTTGTACAACCATCATGGAGGGCAGTATGGAGGTTCCTTAAAAAAACTAAATATAGAACTACCACTTGATCTAGCAATCCCACTCCTGGGCATATATCTGAAGAAAACCATAATTCGAAAAGATACATACACACCAGTGTTCATTGCAGGAATGTATACAGTAGCCAAGACATGGAAGCAACCTAAGTGTCCATCGACAGAGGAAGGGATTATGATTGGTACATATACACAGTGGAATATACTCAGCCATAAAAGAGGAACGAAATAATGCCATTTGCAGCAACAGGCATGGACCTGGAGATTACCATGCTAAGTGAAGTAAGTCAGAGAAAGACAAATATATGCTATCACTTATATGTGGAATCTAATAAAAATGATACAAATGAACTTATTTACAAAACAGAAACAGACTCACAGATCTCGAAATCAAACTTGTGGTTACCAAAGGGGAAACATGGGGGGAGGTGATAGGAGCTGGGGATTGACATATACACACTACTATATATAAAACAGGTAACTAACAAGGACTTATTGGTATGACACAGGGAACTCTACTCAATATTCTGTACTAACCTATATGGGAAAAGAATCTGAAAACGAATGGATATGTATATATGTACAACTGATTCACTTTGCTGTACACCTGTAACTAACACACCACTGTAAATCAACTACACTCCAATAAAAATTTTTTAAAAAGGGAAAAGACAACCATAAAATGAAAGTATTTACAAATCATATAGCTGGTAACGGTCTAGAGTCCAGAATATATCAATAATCCCAACAACTCAACAGCACAAAAGATGGACAAACCAAATCAAAAACAGGCAAAGGATTTGGATACATTATCCGAAGAAGAAACACAACGGCCAACAAGCACATGAAAAGATATTCAACATCATTAGTCATTAGGGAAATGCGGGTCAAAACCACAAAGAAATAGCACTTAACATCTACTAGGATGGCTATAAGTGAAACAAGAACAGATAATAACAGGTATTGGAGAGGATGTGGAGAAACTGGAACC